AGCCTGATTCATCTATTACAGTTGAGGCAGAAGAGCAATGATAAAAAAATATGGATTCCCAATACAAGTTAAATCATCTACTCATATTTATATTGAAATATGAGCATATATTAATTATGATTATTAGACTAAATGAAACATTATTAAATTCAAATTTCAAACTCCGAAAATCCACAAGAGCTGAGCTATGAAATTACCATGTTTGAACCAGAATGGTGCCTAAACCCAAAGCAGCTGGATTTTCTTTCTTCAAAGGTATCAGAACACAATTTAGTTGCAGGATATGCACTGCCAGCAGCAGAGGCTTGAATTGCTTGATACTTAGTAAGGGAACCAGTGGTTGGAGAGGGATCTACCTGCAACAACAAGAAGCAAAAATGCAAAAAGTTTACTCATTGAGAAGCTTGCATGTTCAACTTCTCTTCAAAGAGTGCTCAAAATAACAAGAAAAGTGGGAAATAAGTGATAGAAGATGACAATACAAGAAAGTTGTAATGTTCCCAATACACAGGAAGCCTTCAGTACCAGGTCAACAAAGTATCCTGTATAATTCTAATAAACTGCTAGCACTTCCATTTGCTAACAAGCAAGACTGACAAACTTCTAGCCTAGAAGTTCTAGGTTATTTTCTTGTCAGGATGAACAAGTTAAAATGAAGAAAAGGATAAGAGATAAGCAATATGCTTCTGGCAAGGGCAAGGCTATATAGTGCCAAAAGGAGTTCAAAGAAAAGAATAAGTAGATCTGGTACAAGCCCACTAAAGGTGACTAATCAGAATTTCCTTTTGTTAGGTATCTAAATAAGCCAGTTATTCTACCGCATGTTGAAGCTCAACCTGGAAGACAATTCAGTAAAACCAAATTCCCAACCCCTGCTTCACTACCTAAGTACAGCTTGGTACGATGTCAAATGCTCAGTCAAAAGTCATTCACAACCATGCCCCTTCTCTCTCTCCCTCTCTCTCTTGAGTCTTTACACACATACTTTCTGCCTTTTACCATTAGCTTCCCTGCATCCTTGTGACACACTTGACAAACATTAAACTATTGATCCAAATGAGACAAAAGAACCCTAAACAAGCATATATCCATTATTCCACTCACCATCAGTAATGAATATATTCCATATTCTACATTACACATATCAAAAAGTTATCTCGTACACTCAACGATACCCACCGTTAAAGACCAACAACCAAGGGGGGCTTCATTATGTGGAAAAACAACATTGGCATCATAATTTTTTTCTTTTTTTTTTTTTAAAAAAAAGGGTTCAATCAGTAGTTTGTCTAAATGACAGAAAGCAATATTCCCAATTCCCTCCAGCCACCCAAAATACAAATTCCACGGATGCAACAGAGCCATTTCATAATACAATACTAATTGCAATAGAAAGCATCAGAATCCTTCTAAAGTGCCAACATCGCAAGCACTTCAATTTAAGAATCAAGTCACCTAAACAATTAAGGCAAGTAATTTTCCCTTCTTTTTCTACCAAAGCAAACAGAGCATCTTCACCCAAAATCAAAAAATCCATCGTCACATCACTAAAAACCTAACAAGATTCCCCATTAAAAAGCTGTTCTCTCTCTATTAACTAAGAAACATCATTTGAATGTGATATGTAAACAAAAATATAATAACTAGAGGGAAAAAAAAAAAAAAAAACTTCTGGTTCTCACATTGTTGAACTTCGCATTTCTAAAAACCGAGAAAAACCTTAACTAAAATTAAAAAGAAATTAACTTTACTACTAATTATTCAAAAAAAAAAAAAAACCCCTTTTTCCCCACCCACTTTCCCTCAATTTCTCAGCGACCACACAAAAAAAAAACGAAAAAAAAAATTCCATCCAAACGAAATCACAAAACCACCCAAACCTTAATCTCCGAAAGAAGAACCGGGGACTCGAGAAAGGAAGTCGGACTAAGCCCAGGCGGGATCGTGATGCAGGAAGACCTCGAGATCGGAAGCTTAGCCGGCGCCACAAGCTTATACCTTGCCCCAGCTAAACCTCCACTTGGATCGCAGGATCCTTGCACCCTGTCCGAAGCTGCAACAACAACAGCAGCAGCAGCAGCAGCATCAGCCGGAATACGGTCGTCCATTACACAACAAGCGAAAGGAGAAGAGAAAGGAGGGAACTGAGCTGGAAAAAACGCCGGAGAGAGTCACAATGTTCTTCTTTTTAAAGAAAAAACAAAAAAAAAAAAAAAGCAGAGAGACAGAGAGAGA